TTAAAAGAAAAGGAAGCCAATAATTACCCCGATGGGAAAACCATTGGAGTTATCGAAGAAATGAAAACGGATATGACTTCTGCGGCCCGAAATCTACAAGAAAATGTATTAAGTGAAATTTCGAAAATTTTGTTGAAAATTGGTGGAAAATTGGGGTTATTTTGCATATTTCTGAATATTTCAAAGGACGATTCTGGGAGAACCATTGGAGTTATCGAAGAAATGAAAATGGATATGACTTCTGCGGCCCGAAATCTGCAAGAAAATGTATTAAGTGAAATTTCGAAAATTTTATTGAAAATTGGGGTTATTTAGCATATTTTTGAACATTTCAAGACGATTCTGGGAAAACCATTGCAGTTATCGAAGAAATGAAAACGGATATGACTTCTGCTGCCGAAATCTACAAAAAAATGTATTAAGTGAAATTTCGAAAATTTTGTTGAAAATTGGTGGAAAATTGGGGTTATTTTGCATATTTTTGAACATTTCAAAGGATGATTCTGGGAAAACCATTGGAGTTATCGAAGAAATGAAAACGGATATGACTTCTGCGGCCCGAAATCTACGAGAAAATGTATTAAGTGAAATTTCGAAAATTTTGTTGAAAACTGATGGAAAATTGGGATTATTTTGCATATTTTTAAATATTTCAAAGGACGATTCTGGGAAAACCATTGGAGTTATCGAAGAAACGAAAACGGATATGACTTCTGCCGCTCGAAATCTACAAGAAAATGTATTAAGTGAAATTTCGAAAATTTTGTTGAAAATTGGTGGAAAATTGGGGTTATTTTGTATATTTATGAATATTTCAAAGGACGATTCTGGGAAAACCATTGGAGTTATCGAAGAAATGAAAACGGATATGACTTCTGCGGCCCGAAATCTACGAGAAAATGTATTAAGTGAAATTTCGAAAATTTTGTTGAAAACTGATGGAAAATTGGGATTATTTTGCATATTTTTAAATATTTCAAAGGACGATTCTGGGAAAACCATTGGAGTTATCGAAGAAACGAAAACGGATATGACTTCTGCTGCCCGAAATCTACAAGAAAATGTATTAAGTGAAATTTCGAAAATTTTGTTGAAAATTGGTGGAAAATTGGGGTTATTTTGCATATTTTTGAATATTTCAAAGGACGATTCTGGCTAAACCATTGGAGTTATCGAAGAAATGAAAATGGATATGACTTCTGAGGCCCGAAATCTACAAGAAAATGTATTAAGTGAAATTTTGAAAATTTTGTTGAAAATTGGTGGAAAATTGGGGTTATTTTGTATATTTTTGAATATTTCAAAGGACGATTCTGGGAAAACCATTGGAGTTATCGAAGAAATGAAAACGGATATGACTTCTGCGGCCCGAAATCTACAAGAAAATGTATTAAGTGAAATTTCGAAAATTTTATTGAAAATTGGGGTTATTTGGCATATTTTTGAACATTTCAAACGACGATTCTGGGAAAACCATTGGAGTTATCGAAGAAATGAAAACGGATATGACTTCTGCGGCCCGAAATCTACAAGAAAATGCATTAAGTGAAATTTCGAAAATTTTGTTGAAAATTGGTGGAAAATTGGGGTTATTTTGCATATTTTTGAATATTTCAAAGGACGATTCTGGGAAAACCATTGGAGTTATCGAAGAAATGAAAACGGATATGACTTCTGCGGCCCGAAATTTACAACAAAATGTATTGAGTGAAATTTCGAAAATTTTGTTGAAAATTGGTGGAAAATTGGGGTTAGTTTGCATATTTTTGAACATTTCAAAGCACGATTCTGGGAAAACCATTGGAGTTATCGAAGAAATGAAAACGGATATGACTTCTGCGGCCTGAAATCTACAAGAAAATGTATTAAGTGAAATTTCGAAAATTTAGTTGAAAATTGGTGGAAAATTGGGGTTAGTTTGCATATTTTTGAACATTTCAAAGCACGATTCTGGGAAAACCATTGGAGTTATCGAAGAAATGAAAACGGATATGACTTCTGCGGCTCGAAATCTACAAGAAAATGTATTAAGTGAAATTTCGAAAATTTTGTTGAAAATTGATAAAAAATTGGGGTTATTTTGTTTATTTTTGAATATTTCAAAGGACGATTCTGGGAAAACCATTGGAGTTATCGAAGAAATGAAAACGGATATGACTTCCGCGGCCCGAAATGTACAAGAAAATATATTAAGTGAAATTTCGAAAATTTTGTTGAATATTGGTGGAAAATTGGGGTTATTTTGCATATATTTTAATATCCCCGATCTCTGTGTGACGAATTTTTCATTGGTTGTCAGATTGAGGGGCGGAGATTAATTGCAAAATCCATATTTGCTTACAAAAAATTACCATTTTAAACAAGTTTTAAGTTTGTTGTTGTGAAAAGATGACCGATGAGTTTAGAAAAAGAAAACTAAATAAGCCCCGCCCCCTGCCATATACATTATTAAACGCTAAGTAAAATTAGGCTAATCATCCCCACCAACAATTTGTTCTTCAGAAATTTCGGAGTTTCCAATTATTGCTTAAGATTTTTTTTGACTGACAGATTTCGTTTTTCGAAAACTCTTGCCATTTTACCAAAATAGCCCAATGAATTATGACAATTTTTAGGATTAGAAAAATGATTTTCAAACCGAATATTTCCAAAATCGTAGAATGTACCATAAACACGTCGAATTTTTTCGAAAATTACCGAAAAAGATTTTTTTGCTTTTGTAGTCGCCCAAAAAAATATGGCAGTTTCGAGTTTTTTACTTCCCGAGCGTAAGCAAAGGAAGTATTGTAATCGAGTCCGTCGGCCGACTCTCTACTTTTACGTTTTCTCGATCTTTCATGACCCCTAGAAGACGAAGAAATAGGTCTCCCATTTCCGTCTGTCCGTCTGTCCGTCTGTCCGTCCGTCTGTCCGTCTGTCCGTCTGTCCGTCCGTCTGTCCGTCTGTCCGTCCGTCTGTCCGTCTGTTGTCCCGGATTTTTATTAGACAGATAATCTCCGAAAGTACTCGACCGATTGTTGTGAAATTTTGTACTTATATTAAGAATATCATGTAGATGGTAAAACGCTAACCAAAATTTGTCTAATCATCCCCACCACTAATGCGATGACGTCACTTCAAAATTGTACATAGTAAATGGGTTTTCAATTGTATAAAATAACATAGTCCTACACATGTAGTTTACAACTCCGAATCGACTTTTCACCCGAAACGTCCAGATTTTTGGAAAAAAAATCAAAATTATAAAACAACATTTTGAAATTTAATTTTTAATCTGCTAACCAGAATGCTTTGAAATGTTGCAGATGTTTTAAGGCTATAAAGAGCATCATAAATCTTTAGTCAAAAAATATTTGCTTATCCCCTCCAAAAACTTGATGACGTCAGCTCAAAAGTTTGTGGAATAAATCATATCTAAAATGTACAAAATATGATGAGTCTGTACTTGTGATCTATCACTCCATTCATATTTTTTGGATTTGCATATACAGGGTGACTCAAAAAAATTAATGAATGCGTAAATTTATTTTACTGATTTACTCAGAAACTACAAAACCGAATGCTTTGAAATCTTGCAGATGTTTTAAGGTTCTAAAGAGCATAATAAATGTTTAGTCAAAATATATTTGCTTATCCCCTCCAAAAAATTGATGACGTCAGCTCGAAAGTTTGCCGAATAAATCCTATCTAAACTGTAAAAATATGATGAGTCTGTACTTGTAATTTATCACTCCATTCATATTTTTTGGATTTGCATATACAGGGTGACTCAAAAAAATTAATGAATGCGTAAATATATTTTATTGATTTAATCAGGAACTACAAAACCGAATGCTCTGAAATCTTGCAGATGTTTTAAGGTCATAAAGAGCATAATAAATGTCTAGTCAAAATATATTTGCTTATCCCCTCCAAAAACTTGATGACGTCAGCTCGAAAGTTTGCCGAATAAATCATATCTAAAATGTACAAAATATGATGAGTCTGTACTTGTCATTTATCACTCCATTTATATTTTTTGGATTTGCATATACAGAGTGACTCAAAAAAATTAATGAATGCGTAAATATATTTTATTGATTTAATCAGGAACTACAAAACCGAATTCTTTGAAATCCACTGCGAAAAAAAAACATAATAGGCATGCAGTCGTCACGTTTCCGACAGCGAGGGAAGTACTGTCTAAACTCTTTAGACCAATTTTTTTTAGAAACGTATCTTCAGATATTTTGCACAACCAACAATTTGATGACGCCACCAAAAAATTTATAAAGTAACCAACTATCAGTTGTACTTGTGGCTTATGAGTCCGCTTTGATTTTTTTGCCCCAAACATCCAGCTTTTCGCAAAAAATCAAAATATGACAACATTTTACTATTGTTGGACATTTTCCTAAATTTCTCGAGGAACTCGATAACTTTTGATCTTTTTCTCGAAAGACGCCACGTTTTGAAATATTAAATTTACGATAGCAAGCGGTGCGTGAAATGTGGCTATTTGCCTTTCAAGAGTGTCGCAATTTCCAGATTAGAAGGAAGTCCAAATCGACCTGAAAACGTCGTTGATGTTTGCAAAAAGTAGCTGCTTTACGAGTTCCTGCAGCCAAAGCAATTAATTACTTTGGATGTATAACGCTTCTGTTAAACGTTAAATATAAATACGCCCTGAACAATTTCATCAAAACTCCGATTTCCCGGCTTATATTTTCCCCAGCACAAACTGTAAAAAATACAAATTAATTTTGCTTCGCTTACGTTCATAAAGTCGAACGTGACGTCGCATCCGGCGATCTACTCCAGCCAGGAGCACGAGTAAAAAAGCTTTAATTTGTAAGCCTGTTTTATTCGCAATGAAAACCTCTTCATTGAAGACTAGTAAAACAAGAATAAAAGTTTAATTATCCCGTATTGATTCATCAACTCGGAAAGCTTTTAAGCAATTAATAGCGTTAAAACAACCGGTTGCGAAACAAAACTTTAACAGCTTGAAATTGTTTCAGAAATCCCTCGAAGACCGAATCCAAGAACTCGAAATAGCCTTAGAAGCCGTACAGAAAAACGAGCTACGCGACAAACAGACAATTGCGAAGCTGCAGAAGCAGTTGGCAAGGGTGAGTCCGATAAACGCAATCTAAACATTAACTAAGTAGTCGATTTTTCGTTTGTTGTTGTTGCGATAAATCAAAACTTTCCCCAACGAGCCTAAAAAATCCCGTCGATAGAGAGTAGTTTTTCTTTTGGATGGCTGCAGCGGCTCCAACTTTTCATTGTTATCTCCGTCCATAAAAAACAACATCTAGAATTAAGTATATTGCGAAAAGGGGTAGACCGTTGGCGCCGCAGCGAATTCGCCAGGGCGAAGAGTGAAAATGGAATTAATGTGGCTAATTTTGGGGACCGGGGCTTCTTTGAGTGAAGAATTTGTCAGATCAACGGCCAATGGATTATTTTCGCCGGGCTTGCACTGATATTAATCATAGGATTTTCGTTCTTGTGAAATGTGGTTGCGCTAATAGTTATTTTTGAATTGGAACATCAAAGAGGATCGCGGGATAGAAGTTGGTTTGTTTGCTGTCTTGAGCGAATGACGCGGTTGTATTGAGCAGCGGATTATTTTAATCACATCATCGATGTGGTTATGTGGGAATGCACGAAGTGCTTTTTGTCGCATTGTGTTCGGTAAAGAGCAGGAGTGGGATTAATTAAGAGGAGAAAGCGGCGGCGACTGGCAAATTGGATTAATTTTGGAAATTTTCTGAAGAGCCAATGAAGGTTAGACGCTTGATTGGACTGTACATACAAAGACTCCACAATAACAGTAAACAGTCTTGATTCTACTACCTACTTTATTTTTGAAAAATTGTTTCAAAATGTAATTTATCAATAAGTTAATTTCGCAATTTTTTTCTTATTTCCATAAAAGAAGTTTAATTTTTTGGGATACTTCACCTTTTTTATTATTATTCTGTTTATTTATTCTTAAATACACTTGATTTTTTGTAATGGAACATAAATAGTTCAACTTTTCGTCTTAAAATCTCTGCTTTGTCCTAAAACTATCACAAAATTCAAAGTTTAAGGAAAATGACAATATGTCAAAAATTTAATAGACTTTGTTGATTTTAAAATCTTCATTAAAAACTTCGAGAGAACAACTTTCAATTATATTAGAAATTAAAACATCAAATTCCCAACTGAAAATCTTCGTCGGTTTTTAAGTCAAATGGCTGAAATTATTTAAAAATTTTCGAAAAACACTTCTCGAATTTTTTGATGTGAATATTTATGAAAATTTAAATTAAAAAAAAATACAAACATATCTTAAAACGGAGAATTAGACAGATGTCACGGATCAGAAGTCGTTTTTGGTATAACTTTTCTAAAAAAAAAAAACATATTTTTCAAAAATTTTCCAAAAAATGTGAATTCTGAATCCTTTCAATGAAAAAAGGTGCTGGCCTCTAGACAATTCTTGCGCAGTCATGGATACAAACTCATATTTGATATAGATCTTCACGTAACCCTGAAAAATCGATAAACTTTTTCCAAAAAAAAAATCCAAAAATGCATTGAAACAGCTTCTATTTGAACGAAAAAACCTATAGCATATAGAGAACGTTTCGTAGATTGCAAATCGTCAGGCATTTTTTTCTTCTAAACTTCAAGTTATCTAAAAAAGTGAGGAAATTTAATTTTCCAAAAATTTCCGAAAAAATTAAACGGGCTTTTTTCCAAATTTAAAATAGTACTAGCATGTGAAGAGTTTGGTGGATATTATGAATCAGAAGTAATTTGTGCTATAATTTTTCTAAAAAACAAAAAATTGGGACCATTTTTCAAAAATTTTCCAAAAATTGAGAATTCTAGCTCTCTTTCAATGGAGTGTGTGTTAAGATATCGAGAATTCTTCCAGCATTACGGCTCCAAAGTTATATTTAGTGTAGCTCTTTACATAAATCACAAAAATCGATAAATGAAAAAAAAAAGAAAATTTTTCAAACATGTTCCAAAAAATATTAATTCTAGCTCTCTTTGGATGGAAAAAAATGGTAACATATAGAGAATTCATCGGATATCGCGAATCCAAACTTAGATTTAATACAGCTCTTGAAGACATAATCCACACAAAAAACGATATATTCGAACGAAAAAATATCTAGCTTATAGAGAATTTTTCGTAGATTGCAAATCGTGAAGCATTTTTTTCAAAATTTCTTCAAGTTATCCAAAAAATTAGGGAAAAGATTTTCAAAAAATTTCCGAAAAAAATTAAACGAGCTTTTCTCAAGTTTAAAATAGTACTGGCATGTGTAAAGTGGACATTATGAATCATAAGTGATTTTTGCTATAACTTTTGTAGAAACAAGAAAATTGAGAACATTTTTCAAAAATTTTTCAAGAAAATATGAATTATAGCTCTCTTTCAATGGAGTCTGTGCTAACAAATAGAAAATTCTTCCAACATCACGAATCCAAATTTATATTTAATGTAGCTCTTGACATAACCCACAAAAATCCATAAATTAAAAAAAAATCCAAAAATGTATTGAAACGGATTATATTCGTACGAAAAAACCTCTAACTTATAGCGAATTTTTTGTTTTTACTGCTTTTTGGAAAAAAATTCTGCCCAAAAATGAAATGGCTTTCCAAATTAAAGATAGTATTAGTATGTAGAGAGTTAGGCGGACATTACGAATTGGACGTCATTTTTGCAATAATTTTTCCAAAAACAAAAAGCTGAAGAACATTTTTTGAAAATTTTCCGAAAAAAAATTAATTCTGGCACTCTTTCAATGGAAAAAAGCGCCAACACACAAACGTCTTCGGACATCATGAATTCAAACTTATATTTAATATAGCTCATCAATAACCCAGAAAAATCGATAAACTTTATCTAAAAAAAAAAAAAGAACATTTTTCAAAAATTTTCCAAAAAATGTGAATTCTAGCTCTTTTTCATTGGAAAAAATTTTAACATACAGAGAATTCTTCCAACGTCACGAATCCAAACTTAGATTTAATGTAGCACTTGACATAGCCCACAAAAACAGATATACTTTTTTCAAAAAAAATCCAAAAATGTATTGAAACGGATGATATTCGAACGAAAAAACCTCTAGCTTATATAGAATTTTTCGTAAATTGCAAATCGTGAGACGTTTTTACTACTTTTCAAGTTACCGAAAAAAGGAAAAAAGATTTTTGGAACAAATTTTTGCACAAAAATGAAATGGCTTTGTTCCAAATTAAAGGTAGTACTAGTATGTCGAGAGTTAGGCGGACATTACGAATTGGACGTCATTTTTGCAATAATTGTTCCAAAAACAAAAAGCCGCAGAACATTTTTTAAAAATTTTCCAAAAAAAAAAATTATTCTGGCACTCTTTCAATGGAAAAAAGTGCTACCACACAAACGTCTTCGGACATCATGAATTCAAACTTATATTTAATATAGTTCTTCAATAACCTAGAAAAATCGATAAACTATTTCCAAAAAAAAAGAACATTTTTCAAAAATTTTCCAAAAAAATGTGAATTCTAGCTCTCTTTCATTGGAAAAAATTGTAACATACAGAGAATTCTTCCAACATCACCAATCCAAACTTAGATTTAATGTAGCTCTTGACATAGCCCACAAAAACAAATATACTTGTTTAAAAAAAAATCCAAAAATGTATTGAAACGGATGATATTCGAACGAAAAAACCTCCAGCTTATATAGAATTTTTCGTAGATTGCAAATCGTGAGACGTTTTTACTACTTTTCAAGTTACCGAAAAAAGGGAAAAAGATTTTTGGAAAAAATTTTTGCCCAAAAATGAAATGGCTTTGCCCCAAATTAAAGATAGTGCTAGTATGTAGAAAGTTAGGCGGACATTACGAATTGGACGTCATTTTTACAATAATTGTTCCAAAAACAAAAAGCTGAAGAACATTTTTCAAAAATTTTCCAAAAAATATCAATTCTGGTACTCTTTGAATGGAAAAAAGTGCTAAGACAGAAATTTCCTCGGACATCATGAATCCAAACTCATATTTAATGTAGCTCATCACATAACCCAGAAAAATAGATGAATTTTTTACGAAAAAAAAAAAATCCAAAAATGTATTGAAACAGCTTTTATTCGTACGAAAAAATCTGTATTTGACAGAAATTTTCGTAGATTGGATGCAAATCGTGAGGCATTGTTCTTTAAGTTGTCCAAAAAAATAAAAAGCTGAAGAACATTTTTCAAAAATGTTCCAAAAAATATCAATTTTGGCACTCTTTGAATGGAAAAAAGTACTACGACAGAAATTTCCTCGGACTCATATTTAATGTAGCTCATCGCATAACCCAGAAAAATCGGTAAACTTTTTTAAAAAAATTTCCAAAAAATATCAATTCTGGCACTCTTTGAATATAAAGTAGTGCTAAGACAGAAATTATATCGGACATCATGAATCCAAACTCATATTTAATGAGAAAAATCGGTAAACTTTTTTCAAAAATTTTCCAAAAAAGTCTGAATTCTAGCTCTCTTTCAATGAAAATAAAAGATAACATTTAGAAAATTCTTCCAACATCACGAATCTAAACTTAGATTTGATGTAGCTGTTGATAACACAAAAATCGATAAACTTAAAAAAATCCAAAAATGTCTTGAAACGTTTGGTTGAAATGTTTTTGGAAAAAATTTCTGCCGAAAAATGAAGTGGATTTTTTCCAAATTAAAGATAATACTAGTATGTAGGGAGGTAGGCGGACATTACGAATCCGAAGTCATTTTTGCCATAATAATTTTTCAAAAAACAAAAAGCTGAAGAACATTATTCAAAAATTTTCCAAAAAAATATGAATGGAAAAAGTGCTAACACATAGAGACTTCTTCGAACATCACGAATCCAAACTCATATGTAATGTAGCTGTTCACATAACCCACAAAAATCGATGAACTTTTTACGAAAAAAAAAATCCAAAAATGTATTGAAACGGCTTTTATTCGTACGAAAAAATCTGTATCTGACAGAAATTTTCGTAGATTGCATGCAAATCGTGAGACATCGTTCTTTAAGTTGTCCAAAAAATGGGGAAAATATTTTCAAAAATTTTTTGAAAAAATGAAAT